CCACCCCGCCCCCGGAAGCTGCCCTGCCGCTCAGCTCTCTGGGCTGCAGAACAGTAGCTCAGTGTTCAGGTCGATGCCAGCATGAAACCGGAGCTTTCCAAGGGGTCGGTAGCTGGCCATGGGAACTGGGCAGCCTCAGAATCTCCCAGTGTCTTGCCCACGTGTGAGTCACCTGCCCCGCTCTCACCCCGAGGGCCACGTCTGGGAGAAGAGTGGAGGCGTCCCTGCTAAGCATGGAAGGGGCTCTGGTCTCACCTAGTAGCGCCCACACCCTCCCACTGCCCATCTGGCCACTAGAGAGCCTTCTGTATGTAACCGGGCCCATGAGGAGAACACACTGTGTACTGGGCTATTAACTGGGCCTAGCAATGGCAGGTTTGCAGACATTTTGGTGGTGCCCATAATGTGCAGAGCCCCCCCCCAAAATCCTTTCCCCCACCTGCCTAAGGGAGGTGAACGCGGGTCTCCCAAGCGTAAGGCTCTGGGGGGAAGTTCAAGGGGGAGAGCAGTACAGGCTCTGGGCTGCGGCAGAGGACTGGGGTGCAGGCAGGGAGAGGGGTTTGCGAGGGAGGGAGTGAGTGAGTTTGGGTGCAGGAGGGAGTCTGGGGTACAGGCTCTGGGGTGGGGGGTAGGGATGCAGGGTGCAGGCTCTGGGAGAGAGCTTGGGGGCTGGCGGGGGTGTGGGAGTTTGGGACAGAAGGAAGGCAGGGGAGAGGTTGTAGGCGCTGGGGTGTGTGAGTGATGCGCTTGCTTAGGGCACCCACCTTTGGCAGTTACTCTGGGGGGGCAGGAGTCTCCATGTGCTTCCCCCCCAAGCACTTCCCCTGGCCCTGCCTGCCACCTCCAGGCAATTTAAAATGCCTGGAAATGAGAGGCAGGGCCAGGGGAAAAATCCTGGCAGGCCCAGGCCAGGAATATTCCTGGTGTCCAGCCCCATGGGACCATATAATTCGCCGCCTATGACTGGGCCAAGTTCAGCAGCGGGCAGCCCCCGACCCTCCCTGCTCCCTCCAGAGAAGCCTACTTGTGGGGTCCCCTGGGAGTGTCCCTTTTCCTCCGAGCTGCTGGGGGGCAGGGAGACTTGCTCAGCTCTCCTCCCCAGGAGGAAGCCAGGCCCCACACACCCATTTTTGCCTTACCTGCTGCAGTGACTCTTCAGAGGGCCGGAGCGTCCGCTGTCTGTGCGGGACCAGCATCGCCTGCGTGGTCGTGACTGCTCCTTCGCCTGCTCACGAGTGGGGAAAAGAGCCAAGTCAAGGCACGAAAAGTGCAGGCAAGCCCCGAGCGTTATCGTGTGACTCAATCATGCACCCCTCTGAGGTCTGCCCTGCCTGAGGAGAGACACACGGTCTTACCCCGGGCACAACTGCAGGCAGGACACCTGCCACGGTGCAGAAGGGAGAACGAGACAGAAAACATTAATGCCACCGGGCTAGACTGGTCCCCCCATCTCAAAGGCCACAAGCAGGCTAGAGGGAGTTCAGAGACATGGCGGAGATTGACTAGAGCTCTGGAAAAACTGCCCTAGAAAGGCCAATGTTGAAGACTGTTTACTTTAGAGGAGGCGAATGAGAGGATGTGACAGCCGTATACAGACTCAACTAGCACAGAGAAGGCAGATAGGTCACTGGTCACCCTGTCACACACAGATGGACACAAAGGCAACACATTTAAGAAGGATCAAGGAGGATTTTTCCTCACCCATAGGCTGTGTCTAGACTGGCCAGTTTTTCTGGAAAATCAGCTGCTTTTCCGGAAAAACTTGCCAGCTGTCTACACTGGCTGCTTGAATTTCCGCAAAAGCACTGACTTCCTACTGTAAGAAATCAGGGCTTCTTGTGGAAATACTATGCTGCTCCCGTTCAGGCAAAAGTTCCTTTTGCGCAAAGCTTTTGCGCAAAAGGGCCAGCGTAGACAGCTCAGATTTGTTTTCCGCAAAAAAGCCCCGATCACGAAAATGGCGATTGGGGCGTTTTTGCGGAAAAGTGCATCTAGATTGTCATGGACGCTTTTCCGCAAAAAGTGCTTTTCTGGAAAAGCGTCCGTGCCAATCTAGACACTCTGTTCCAAAAATGCTTTTAACGGAAAACTTTTCCGTTAAAAGCATTTCCGGAAAATCATGCCAATCTAGACGCAGCCATAGAGAGTATGAACATCCATTGTTACTCCCACCCTCTTCAGCCAACCTCTCTGTACCTCGGGTTAGACAGACTCACAGAATCAAAAAACACTAGAACTGAAAGAGACCTTGAGAAGTCATCAAGTCCAGCCCCCTACCCCCATGGCAGGACCAAGCACCAACTAAAGCATCCCTGATAGATGCCTATCTAAATGACTCCGGTGATGGAGATCCCTCGACCTCCCTAAGCAATGTATTCATGTTTAGCCACCCTGACAGGCAGGCAGTTTTTCCTAATGTCCATCCTAAACCTCCCTTGCTGCAATTTAAGCCCATGGCTTCTTATCCTATCCTCAGAGGTCAAGGAGAACAATTTTTTCCCCTCCTCCTTGTAACACCCTTTTAGGTACTTAAAAGCTGCTCTCATGTCCTCTCTCAGGCTACATCTACCCTACAGGGTTTTTGTGCAAGAACAGCTGTTTTTGTGCAAAAACCCGCAGAGCGTCCACACTCATTTACAGGACATTTTTTGCACAAGTACATTTACAGTAAATCAAAAGAACAGAGGAGGTTTTTGCGGTCTAGGTCTTCCTCTTTTTACGAGGAATGACTCCTTTTTGTGCAAGAGTTCTTGCAAAAAACGGTATGTATGGACAGGCAACAGGGAGGTTTTGCGCAAAAAGAGCCAATCGAAAAAAGCACAGATGCTCTGGTGGCTATTCTGTGACTAGCAATCAGAGCTTTCTTTCGAGAGAGCCTCCATGCGGTCTGGATGCTCTCTTGCACAAAAGCGCATCACTTCTGCAATGCGCTTTTGTAGTGTGGTTATTGCCTTTGTGCAATAAGTTTAGATAGGCAATTTAGATAGGCATCTATCAGGGACGCTTTAGTTGGTACCTTTTGTAGTTATTGCCTTTGCGCAATAAGTTTTTGCGGAAGATCTCTTCTGCAAAAAGTTTCTTGCGCAAGACGCCTGCAGTGTAGACATAGCCTCAGTCTTCTCTTTTCCAAACTGAACTAGCCCAATCTCTTCAGCCTTCCCTCATCGCTCATGTCTTCTAGACCTTTCATCATTTTTGTTGCTCTTCTCTGGTTCCTCTCCAACTCTTTCTTGAAATGTGGGGCCCTTTCAGCCAGGCTATTGCAGAACTGTCCCATATGGGGCTTTAACACTCTCCCTGAGGCATCGGGTGCTGTGCAGAGGAGTGGATTACTTGGATCTTTACTCTGAGTCACTATAGAAATTCTCAAGTTAGCACAACTGGGTCTACCGAGATTCCTGCTCCTGGTGCTTTAGGGAGGCAGTTTGAGAGAGGCCAGATGGGGACAGTTCTGTGCAGCCTGCACAATACCATGCTTGCCCTCCTAGCACCCTACTGCAGGTCTCCGAGCCTGGGAGCATGGCTGTGCACGGGAGACTGCTCATGCAGGGGGAGCAGGACCTCAGAGCTCTGAGCTGAGACAAGAGCGCTGTCTGGTGGTGACAGGCTTATAGGCCGGAGACCCAGATAAGACGGCCACTTGCACAGCCCTGCCATTCTGGGTACTCTGGAGAACAGAGTGGGCCTACCCCCCACTTGTGTGACCCTCCCCCTCAGCGTGGCTTGCGATGCTGCCCTGTTGCTGGCATGACTTTGCATGCGCAATGAGTGTGAGGAGACGGTGGCGGAGTAGCCTGTGCTTCTCTAAGGCGTCGTCTGTCTGCAGCTGGGCAAAACGAGACCCGTGTCTGTCTCGGCAGCAGCTGGGGGTTCACATTGGAAGTGCCGGCCGGTGCACTGTAAAACCGGCTGAATGCCCTGCCTGAAGCCAGCCTGGATGATGTGACCCACCAGAGAGAAACCAGGGGATTCAAACAGAAAAGGCAGCAGGTCTCCTGCAGCACAGAAACAGCCGAGAAAGAAGGTACAGTACCCTGCAGCAGGCCCCTAGCAAGGGAGGGTGCCTCTCAGGGGAGGGGCTGTGCCCAGTACCAGTCTGGATGGGCAAGTCTTCGGGTTTGCGCTTTTAGCAGCTTTGTTCCTAAAGCGTAGCCCCTCCCCCACCCCCGAGCACAGCTCTGATTGAGCAGGACAGCCGGCTGCCACGGAAGGCGAGCTGAAGAGGGAAACAAAGGCAGGGCACGGGCAGAGGTACCACGAGGGGGCATTCGGGGGTGATGGTCCCACTGCTACAGCGACCAGGATCCATTCAGTCCATTCTCATGCAAACAACAAGGACGGGAGAGACATCCCCGTCCCCATCTGCTACCCCCCATAGACCTCCCTGAGGAGTTAGCGCAGGGCTACTCACTTTTAGAAGCTCCGGGGGCCACAATGATACTTACAGCACATGCCGAGGGCAGCAACTTAAGTGTGGTTGCATATCCGTGCAAATATATGCAATTAGCTTCTTTCACACTGACGGGCATGAATACAAAGATTAAGGCAAGACGACACAACACACAGGCCCCATTTAAGTCGGTTCTTCAGATATGAATAAAATGCAATATCTACCTGATTTCCACCCGTAGGTCAGCACTTTGAATGAGCAATGACAGTCCAAGAATTTAATTTCTAAAACACATCTCAGCAGAAGACCATTCTATTGACTACTTTTTTGTTTTGGCTCCCACCCGCGGGCCACAAGCAAACAGGCCACGGGCCGCGTGCGACTCATGGGCCGCATGTTGAGTAGCCCTGAGTTAGTGGATGCCAGAGCAAAGAACCAAGAGGTGAGAGGGGATATTTTAGCCTATTCCACACGAGACCCCGTATGAATCCCTGCCTTGGGCTGCACCAACAGACCTTATAATTCAGACACTCCACCCCCGCTCCCTAAGGCAGTGAGAGAAGGGCTTGGTTCCTGGAAACCAGCAGAGGAAACTCCAGCAAGAGGAAGGGAAGCGCATCTGGCTCCAGAGTCCAACGGCACATGGCACAAGCCACCACAAGATGGCAGTGAGTGGTGAGACTCACACAGGTGGCATCTTTCTCACACTTTCTCATACTTTGGCGCTGCAGCATTGGGGATATGGAACATCCTCCAGGCAGGCCATGGGAGCGCTGAGCAGCAAGTTCTGTGCCTGGCTTTTGGGGTCACTGCCCCACTCTTGTAGACAAATTAGGGTGCATTAGGAGGAGCATTGCCAGCAGATCCAGAGCAGAGATTATACCCCTTTATTTGCACTGGTGAGGCCACATCTGGGGTACGTCTAAACTACATGGCTCCGTCACCGGAGCCATGTAGATTTGTTGTTATGGCAAAGGCAAATGAAGCCGCGATTTAAATGATCGCGGCTTCATTTAAATTTACATGGCTGCCGCGCTGAGCCGACAAACAGCT